ATACCTATAGAATGCTCAACAGAATTGTTGATCCAAGTAATAATTTTTGCATTATTTGCTTCCAGACATCTATCAAATCAGCATAACCAGCATCAGTATTTTTAGGTTTCACAGAAGTTCCACTAACATATCCTCATAGTTTTTTACCTTTAAGAAAATTTCTCATCACATAACTCCAATACGAATAATTCTTTCCATCCAACCTCACACTTACAGACTAAAGCGAATCGTCTCTTGCAGTAGCCATAATCAACAAATAAAGAAAACCAGATTGCAAAAACAGAACAAATACCAGATTGCAAAAATAGAACAAATACCAGATTACAAAAAAATGGAACAAATACCAGATTACAAAAACAGAACAAATACCTTCTCTCTCTAGATTGTAGAAAAAGAACCACTCCCTCGCTCGTCTTCCTTCACTCGTTAATTAATGATCATATCCATTTGTTTCTGATGTTTCCAAAAAGATCATGGCACTTTTTGTTGTACCTTGAAGAATATGCCTTCATTTTCTGATCTAAATGGTAGCAACATTTGCAATATGTGGTATTCCCCATGCTTTAAACTCATGAACTTACTTGATAATTTCGGAAGGTGTTCTTTTTCATGATTTCTTGTAGAATTAATGAATAAACTTTACCCTACAAGGTTGTATCTTCGACGCCCTCGCCCTCCCCCCCCCCCCCCCCCACCCCACCCCACCCCACCCACCCCACCAAACCAAAATAAAACACTAATATTATGAGCAATACTATTGGACATAATTTGAGAATTTAATGATTGTAGTCATTAGATTATCAGTGGGTCCTAACATTAAATTATCACTGGATCCCAACACTATTAATCCAATGATTATAATGCATTAAATCCTCAAATTATGTCCCAATAGTATTAGTGTAATATTATTGAGATATAATTTAATGCATTGTAACTATTGGACTGATAGATGAGTGCATTCACTTTTAGACAAATAGTATCACTATTATCCCTATTTGGATATAGGACGCATTGAAGTTTAGATAGGCCACAATCATTGTCATGCTAAATTTGGCCTCCATTGGTTTTTTTTTTTTAACATACCCCGGTATATTTCTACAACTATAGACAATCAACTTGATGAATTCAACTGTTCCAATAAAGAAAAATACATTTATAGCAGATGAGAAAGCACCCAAGAGAAAAAGAGAAGCCTAGAAAACTGGTACAGAAAAATCCCAGAATAAGGGAAGACAAAAAAATAATCTTCGTCTTGATTGACCTCTTAATTATGAGAGTCAGGAGTGGCCAACTAAGTTAGACCCTAGTGATTAATTTAAATGAAATCGCTAACAAGTTAATAGATGTAGTTGATTCCCTAGGCTGCATCATCGTATTTTCTTTCTTTTAAGAATAGACTGATTACATCCCTGTATACAAAAATAAATAAACAAATAACTCAACAAGAAAATTGATTTGTATGAAGCTTGTTCTTTCAATACATCCTTAAAGATGGATAATCCTCTCAAAATTACATGCACAACAACAAGATGTACAAAGGAGAGAAAACCTTGACCAATACAAGCCTGATTTCCTCTAAATATCCAACGGCAGGCTACGGAGCCAGTACTAAAAAGTATTTGATTCAATGGTACTTCTTATCTTGTAAAAGTTTTGTCTTCTTAAGGTCAAGAGTTCAAGTCCTCTCCTCCTTCCCCTTCCTCTTCCCCTTCCCCTTCCCCAAAAAAATTAAAAAATTAAAAAAGGCTGCGAAGCTAGTAGATCACCGCTGATCTTCAAAACATTTAACCTAATTTGTCGATTATTGAGATTTTAATTGGGTGGGCACCCCACAAATCTCCATTCTCACCTCATTTTATTTCTCATTATCAAACTACTAAATCTACCCCTTTTATACCTACCTCATTAGAAACTAAGTCCACCTCATACTACATACACCCCATTAATAGATAAGTTCACGCATTCTATGTGCACTCCTTTAATGAAAGAAATCATTGTAAAAAAAATAATGAAAGAGACAATTAGTTTGAATGCATAAATATATTTATGAAACAAGAAAAAAAAAAAAGAATCAAGAAAAACTGAAATAAGAAAAAAAAACAATCAAAAATGAATGCATAAATATATTTATGAAACAAGAAAAAAAAAAGAATCAAGAAAAACTGAAACAAGAAAAAAAAACAATCAAAAATGAAACAAGTAAAAAAAACCAAGCATTCTGAAACAAGAAAAAAGAAAGAACAAAATTAGAAAAAAAAAAAAAGGCAAACCGAAACAAGAAAAAATAAAAGAACGAAACAAGAAAAAAACATAAAGAAAGAAACAAACTGAAAAAAGAAGGAAAAAAAATCAAAAAAAGATTAAAAGAATAAACAAAACTACAAGACACAAAACCGAATATGAAAAGAAAAGGTATTAAACACAGACACAAAATCGAACAAGAAAAAAAAAATAGCAAGTATAGATGTAAAACCTTAACAAGATAAAAAGTAATAACTAATCTAAAAGAATACATATGTATACACATATATAAATTCTAAATAAAAAATTATTCAATTTGCAGAGATATTAAAACATACCAAAAATAATGAAAATCTATAAAATAAGCATGAAATCAAATATAGAATTAAATTGAAAATCAATACTAACTTGTATCTCACTGAAAAAATTCATATTAAAAGTGTTTTTGTAAGTGCATGACAGAGAATGAAACCCTAATTATGATAATTTATAAAATAGGTTTACTTATTAAAAATGGTGTATGTAACATGGGGTGGGTTTAGTTACTAATGAGGTAGATATAGAAGAAGTGAAATTAGTGGTTCGATAATAAAAAATTAAATGGGATGTAAATAGAGATTTATAGGGTGGGAATAAAGCCACCCATTTTAATCATCTACCTTAATATAAAGTGGTTATAACTCTCTTGTCTACCATAAAGTGGTCGGTGATTTATATGTAGCAAAGTGTATTTCAGTAATTCCAACACACAGTACCCAGAGAGACAAGCAAAGATGAAGTCATACCTCGAGTTGTATATAAATTTATACGAGATACTCCCAAAGAAATATAAATACATACAGATGTGATCCTGATTAAAGATAGAATACAAAGGAAAAAATTAAAGAGAACAAAAGGGCATTCCCAGTTTGGCACATTGTGTCTACATCCACAGTTCAAATGCTCCTCACTGTTTATTCACCGGTGATTATTTACATATGACTCAATTCTCTTTGTAGAGTGAGTAAATACATTAAAAAAACATAAGATAAATCACCAATCCTTATGAAATCTGATTATATATAAATACAAATACGATCTTGACAGATCTTATCATACCCAAATATCAATAATCTTAATTGAAAATAGATATCTCATTCCTAGTAATAAAATACCCAGGTTTCAATTATCATAATAATATCATATTTAGTATTTGATTATTATCAGCAATCTAATATGGGAATTAATGTCAAATTATTTTAGGAAAGAACTTTAATTATAAAGGAGATTGATTTTAGGAGGATTACTTAATTTTTAAAATGAATATAATTTTAGGATGGAGCTTCATTTTAGGATTTTTATTTTTTTTATAGAATACTCAATCAATGTAAATATGAAATTACCATCATTGATCATGGGTTTAAGATACCAGCCATACAGAGTTAGATTACTGAATAATTGTCTATATAATATAGTAATCAAGAATTTAGGAATGAGAATCACATTCCCAAAAAAATTACCATCATCCAAATGAGCCTAATTTTATCTTCTTCTTTTTTCGGAAAATAAATAATTTCATTAATTCAAAAAAAGATATTCAATAAATCTCCATACATACCACAAGAACACACAAAAGAGTTTTTCAAAGAGCGAACTCACTCAAAACAAGCCCAAAGGACACAACAATTATGACAAGGGAATTGCTCAACTTAAATGATCAGACCCCCATGAATGTTATGTTTATTACATGGTCCAAACCCAATAAAGATGAAGAGTCGACTCATCTTCAAGCATGGCCAAGACCTAAGATCCATCAAGAAAATTTGCAAACGCATGGAGCAATAAGTTCGGTTGAAGACCCATTACAACTATAAAGCAGTAACTTGTACTCAATTGACCAACACTAAAATAGACTTAACAAGGCACGGTAAACTGTGTCCCCATCCACCAGCAATGGCAGCAGCTATTTGAAACCATGTGCTGAAAATGTGCATATCCAAGAAATAGAACCAGTAGGCCCTCACCTCTTTTTCTCTCAAAGGAGATACTCAATGGCGTGGAAAGCTAAGTCAAGGTTGTCCAAGAAGTAATCAAATAGAATTGGTGGATAAGTTGGGCACTGGGAATGGGTGGGGTGAGATGATCCAGAAGGACTCGAGCGAAGGGAAGGATATTCACCATGAAAGCCCTAGAGAGAGGTTTCTCTTTCTAGATCTAGAGAGATAGGCTCTCCCCCTAGTCTATCTTTGTAAATTTCAATGTTTTACGAAAGAGTAATACTAAACAGACTTAAAATATAGACTTAATGATGTAGCTGTCTTTCAAGAGCTTCGATCAAGATTTGGAGTAAAGAATTGCTTCGATCAAACTTCTCCTCTCCTCCTTACCTCTTCGCTAGAGTAGACAATCGTCCGAAGCATTTGGAGTAAACAATTGCTTCGATTAAGATTTTTGTAAGTGTCCCCATCTCTTTTTTTTTCTTTGTTGCTTTATTGTTACAACATATTGCTTTTTTGTTATGAATTTCTCAAGCCTAGATTTTTAACTAAAGATTAATTATGTCTATTGTTTTAGGATGTCTTAAATGTGAATTCATTGAAGAACTGATTTTCTTATAAGTTTATTGCATCCTTTTACATTTTAATATTCTATCCATTTATTTTTGTTGGGGATTTTGGAGCATAAACATATTATTTTTCTTGTGATGTTCAGGCATATATTGTGGTTAAGAAATCTTTGATTAATCAAAGAGGCACTTGATGGGGTTAATTTTTTTTAGAATGGAAGGAGAATGTTCAAGTAGTTTGCAAATGATTGATAAAAATGTTGAGACTAAAATACAGAATGTGGCCAACGTAAATGAGTCTAAGGTTGGGATGATGTTTGAAAGTGAAAAAGAATTGTTTGACTACTACACAAATTATAGCAAGCAATTGGGGTTCCCAGTTAAGATAAGATCATTAGCAAAAAGAGATGATGGTGAGTTGAAATATTTGACGATTTGTTGTTCTCAATCAGGAACGTTCGAGTGCAATTCCAAAAATCCTTTCAAACCGCGTCCAAGCATCAGAACAAGTTATAAGGCTAAGGTCCTAGTAATTTTATGTGCTGATAGAAAGTTGCGACTAAACACTATCATGCTTGATCATAACCATGAGGTGAGTCCAAGCAAAGCTCAATTCTTTCATTGCAATCGAGTGATGGGACCAAATGCAAAAAAAAAAAGCTTGAATTGAACGATAGGGCAGGGATTAGAATAAATAAAATTTTTAATTCATTTATGATTGAAGCAGGGGACATGAGAATATCTCTTTTTTAGAAAATCATTGTAGAAACTACATTGACAAAATAAGGCGTTTACGGCGTGTGGAATAAGACACTTCTACGATACAGAATTACTTCTTAAAGATGCAAGGTGAAAATGCAAACTTCTTTTATACAATGAATTTGGATGATGAGGGTCAGCTAAGGAATGTGTTTTGGGCTAATGCAAGGAGTAGAGCTGCATATGAGGAATTTGGTGATGTTATTACGTTTGATACAACATATTAGACAAATAAGTATGACATGCCTTTTACTCTATTCGTAAGTGTTAATTATCATGGGCAGTCAACTTTGTTTGGATGTGATTTGATCTCCAATGAAGATATGAAAACTTTTAGTTGATTATTTCAATAATGGCTTGCATGTATGTCTGGAAAAACTTCACGTTCTATAATAACTGACCAGGACAAGGTCATAAAGAAAGTAGTTGAGAATATTTTCCCTAATACTAGGCATCAGTGGTGCCTATGGCACATCATGAAAAAATTGCATGAAAAGTTGAGAGGTTATAAGCAGTATGAATCCATCAAATTTTTCTTGCAAAGAATCGTTTATGATTCATTAAGTTGTACTGAATTTGAGAAAAGTTGGAATGAAATGATTGAGAAATGCATGCTACACAACAATGACTGGTTAAGTGAACTATACAGTGAGAGGCGTCGTTGGGTGCTGATCTTTGTGAAAGATACTTTTTGGGCGGAAATGTCTACCACACAATGAAGTGAGAGTATGAATTCATTCTTTGATGAGTATGTCAACTCTAAGAGTACCAAAAGTAATTCGTCGAACAATATGAAAATGCTTTGAAAAGTAAGGTGGAGAAGGAGATCGAGGAAGAATCTAAGTCTTTTTCTTCGCAAGTCCCTTGTGTAATTATGAAATGGAGAAACAAGTTCAAAAGGTTTACACCATCTCAAAATTTAAGGAGTTCCGAAGCGAATTGACAAGGTAGATGTACTATGATTTGACTTTGGTCAAAGTGGATGACTTGATTTCTGAATATGATGTATGTGAGGATATCATGACTAAAGAGAAAAGAAAGATTGCAAATTTCAAGGTTTTGTTTAATGAAAAGGATTGTGAAGTGAAATGCAATTGTCGCTTGTTTGAGTTTAGAGGAATATTGTGCAGGCATGCTATGGCAGTGTTAATCAGTAGAAAGATTTACTTATTTCCTGATAAATACATCGTACAGAGATAGAAGAAGGATGTGGAAAGATGTCACACAAAGATTAAAATTAGTTATGATTGTTGGAGTACCACACCTGAAGCACAACGATTAGATAAAATGTGCAATGTTTTTAATGAGGTTGTAGACTTGGCAGTAGATTTTTGAAGATAAGTGCACATGGATTGTATACATGATCTAAAGGAGAAATTACAGAAATAAAAAGGTGATTCTACAAGTTATGAACCAAGTCTTAACTCAACTGTCGATAAAAGCTCTGGTGGTGATATAAATGATATATCAAAGGAGATGAATATACTTACTCCATTAGCAATCTAAAGCAAATGTCGTCCACCATTCAAAAGGAAGCAATCAAAAGTGGAGCAAGTTGCTAGGAGAAAGAAGGAAATGAAAAAAAAAAGACATTATGTCGTGGAAATTATACCACTAAATTAAAATTATTCACATTCTTTGTAACATTTTATTATTTATTATTTAATTTATATTTTGTATGATTCCCTCCAAACTAAAAGTGATGTCATTGGTCATATCGATGGTCAACCCACTAGTAAAATGGTTGACGTACTTGGAACACAAGAGAACATTGTTGTAATGGTATGACATAACAATCATTTTTGGAATTGTAATACATTTTTTTTAATGTATTGGTTAATTTCTTACTTGGAATTAATTGTAATGTAGGATTCGAAAACTATCCAAAGTGGTAATGTTGCCGAAAGTGATGGTCAATACTCCAATTTGCCTCTTTATAATGTAAGTTGTGAAAGTTTATTTATAATTAATCTGTTGTAATTTTGTAATAATCTGTTTTAATTTTGTTATGACAGAACAATTTGGCCTTATTATGGGGAGTCACTCTAAGAGGTCATGAAAACCAATCATATGGGATGGAAAACTATTTCATGGTTAGAAATCTGACATTAGTTTTAGAAATTCTATATCTTTTTTGTTGTTTATACTATAATGTCAATTTATGAAATTTCTTGGTTTTTTTGGTTTAGAATAACCAATATCATCCTTAGAATGGTGAATATGACATGCAACATATGCCCTCTTTTAGCTCAAAAGAAACAGTAAACAATCCAGAATTGCCAGTTTCGCCTTCAATATCACCGTCAAATGGCAATTAGATTTGGTAAGTTGGAAAGAATTCTATAAAAAGTCTTTGTCATTTATTCAAGAGTTGAGTTTTTATTTTTTTTTTTCCTATGACAGGAATGTAAAGGAGGAACCCTTCGTCAAGATGTGCAAGACAAAAATTGTAGTATTTTGTGTCCTTGTGTTATCCAAAATTGAGTTGTTCTATTATTTTTGGATACTCATGATTTTATAATAGGACTTAAGGGTTGGATTTTACAGCGACAATTTTATTTTATACAATTGTTCAATTAATTATTTGTTGAAATTTTTTTTGTTTCAAACATGTGATCTTTGGCAAATAGAGCAGTTCAAGATGGTTTTCCATCTTAGTTCACTGGCTCTGATCAGCTACCCGTTGCTGTGAGCAGCGATTAGTTCAGGATCAGAAAGGCTCACCGGTTCTGCGTACTAAGAGTACTCTGATTTTTTATGATCATGATTGACAGCTAACTCTGAAGCTGGGTGTGTGTATCTAGTGTAACAGGGGAGGATTGGGTGATTTGTTTGTTGTTGACTGTAGGATAGTGCTGCTGGCTTTGATGAAGGGTTTTTGAATGGGCTTTCTGGAAGTGAGGTCTACCTCACCAATATCAATGAAGGGGTTTTGTTTGGATGGTCTGATTGAAAAATAATCACAAGCTGGGCACAAAGAGAGCTACATAAAGTAGTTAAAAATGGCTTAAGTCCTTTTCAAAGATTAAAGTCATCCTTTGTATTGTTTGGTAACTGTTTTTGTCTTTGTTTTTGTGTTTTTGTTTTCAACTTTTGTCAAAAATGAAAACAAAAATATGTTTGGTAACTATTTTTGGTTTTGTTTTGTTTTCGTTGTATTGGAGACAAAGACAAAAAATGGAAACAAAAAAAATATGTTTCAAGAAACACCCAAAACAGAGACAACACGCGCATAAATGGGTAGGGAATTAATGAGATCCGGACTTCGACTCCTCTTAACAACAAAACACGCATTTTTTTGGTTGAACTATAAAAACCCATTTCCCCACTCTCTCCTCCCCATCGCTTACCCCTGTCTCTCTCCTCTCTCCCTCATCTCTTCTTTCTGCATTGCTGCCTCCAGATGAGGTGGGTTTCGACTCCCTCATCGTTGCCTCCAGACGGTGTGAAACCCACCTCCATCGCTACCTCCATCTCTCTCTCCTCTCTCCTCTCCCTATTCTCTTTGAAACCCAGAATCGCCATCGCTACCTCCAGATGAGGTGGGTTTCGACTCCCTCATCGCTGTCTCCAGAAGGTGCGAAACCCACCTCCATCGCTACCTCCATCTCTCTCTCCTCTCTCCCTATTCTCTGTGAAACCCAGAATTTGTGCATATATATGCACAGTTCTCTACATATATACACAGACCTGTGTATATATATGCACAGATATCTATCGCGTGTGTGTGATTGGCCATTTGGGATTGTTGAATTTGGGATTAAATTGTCATTTAGGATTAGATCTGTGTATATATCATTTGGGATTAATTGTCATTTGTAACTAATTGAATTACCATTTGGGATTGATGAATTGTCATTTGGAATTTAATTACCAAATAGATATCAAACATATTTAGGATAAAATTTGAAGAAGTTACCAAACATATTTTTTTTTTTTATTCTCATAATTTGATATACAAAAATGACTCCCAAACATGTTTTTTGTTTTGGTGTTTATCACAAAACAAAGACAAAAAATTATCTCTGTTTTTAATTTTTTGAAGATGCAAAAACAAAACCGTTACCAAACGCAATTTTTTCAAATGATGTTTTTTCAATTTTTCAAATGATTATTTCCTTTTACTTGATCTCTTATCTTCCATTCTATTGTTTATACCTAGTCTCTACAATTCGCTTAACATTCAAAGGCTACTTTAGTCGACCATACAAAAAAAGTTCAATTATATTTTTTTTTCAAACAAATCAACATTTTATTTCATGAAAAAAGAATTATAGTCATGAAAAAGACAGACAGGCCTGCCTATACAAACTCGAGCCAGAAAAAATTACAAGAATCAAACAATGACAATTTCATTGCGCAAAACTTTGAATCCTTGTTGATCTCGAAGTAATATCTCCTTCGCTTGTGAGGGAATGTCAGGCAAATGGGAAAAATAAGTGGAACAACCTTGCTGCACAGCTACATTAGCAAAGAAATCGGTCATAACCTGAACAGTACCACACAATTACACGGCCCCCAACTTGCAAGTTCAAAAGCACAAACTGAAAAGAAAACATAGTCATTTTTTTTATTACTATTCCACTACCAAATTGAATAAGTTTACAGACAAAATACAATCTCAAATAAGTTCACAAAGGCAAAAGCTATGTAATTGTCTCCCAAGTTGAATGAGTACACAAAATGTGTACAATTCACAAATCATTTCTTCTAAGGTAGTGACTGAATTGTGCATAACAAATCAGCTTCACTATCGTGTCTCGTTGACGAAGTATAAATGTCCAAAACCAAATGACTTCTGCTAGACAATTCGTCGAACAGCTTGTGAACGCAATTCAATCTAGCTTTCCCCTCCTTACTCAATTGTAGATTCACTTTCACGTCAATGAATTCACAAATAAGACATCCTAAACCAATAAAAATAATTAATTAATAATTAGTAAAAAATTTGGGCTTGAGAAATATAAGTATGTTGTAACACTAAAGCAACAAAGAAAAAAAACATATGGAGAGAAGTAAAAATGTATGGGCTCCCGCAACTGTCAATGTCACTCCGACGACTACGAGTGTCTCTAGCAACTATGATTTCGACGAATAGATGAATTGGGGAGTAGAATTGCTAGGGACTAGGGGAGAGGAGAGAAAATTTTGACTGTGTCCTTGCTTCGGCATATATTCGTTGTAAGACGACTGTGTTTGTGGCCAGCGTCGATTGCCGGAGTTGTGAAATTCCAGCGGCAATCAGGGCATGTTTTGTGGGCGAGTTTTGGCGTAGGGAAGGGGAGGGTTACAGAGAGGGAAGATGGAAGATGGAAGGGTTGGGTCTGGAGAGAATAAAATCTGATCTTTCATCTTTATATTTCATTAAAATTTGTTTTTTTTTTTTTGGGAAAGAAACTGATGACATTGTTAGTACACATTAGCAGACACATCATCAAATCTAAATTTTAAGTCTGTCTAGCATTACTCTATATGAAATACACTTCTAATCCAATGACTATATTACATTAGGTCCCTAAATTAAATCTCAATAGTATTTTTTAAATAAACAAAATAGGTAATGGTAAAATTGAAAAAAATTGAGGACATGCTCTCCCTGGTCCTTGAATGGCTCCGCCACTTGTTATTATGTTGCATGAAAGGAGAGTCAACAGACTCTAGTCTTTACCAATTTGGAAAAAAAAAAGAGAAACAAGCTGACAAAGGCAAAGAGATAGCCTCCACTATTGAAGTTATCAAAGAAAAGGAATGTGACAAGGTAGATCAAAGAAGTGTTGATCAAGGAAGCACAAGCAACCAAGTGGTGGTTAGTGAAACTACAACTCCTATCACAGAGATTCACAACACCACCCCTACTCCTCAAGTAACTACAAACATCACTACCAGCAACAAATTTGATAATCTTGTTATAGAACTGCAAGGTCCTGTGCTGTTAGATTTGGAAAAATCAGCTTCTCTTGAAACAAGTGTACTGGCTACAAAAATTAAGAACATTGATGGTATACCAATTGGGAAACTAAGGAAAAAAACACAAGTCACTAAATAGAGGTAAAAGGGGGATTTCTACATCCCAAGGCCACCATCCACCAAGACATAAATGATTAATTTTGCCTGTTGAAATATTAGGGGATTGAACTCTCCCCCTAAACAATTGGAGGTTCAAAATTTTATTTTTGAACAGCAACTGGATTTGGTTGGAATAATTGAGACCAAAGTCAGAGCTTTTAATAAGGGTAGCATTATGAGAGTTGTCTTTAGAGATTGGGACTATTTTGATAGTTATTTCAGTCATATTCTTGGTAGGATTTGGGTTGGTTGGAACCCAAATATCCTGAAGATAACCAAGATAGAAGAAATGGATCAGGTTGTACACTGTGAGGTTCAACATCCAGAAAGTAGGATTGTGTTCCTAGTTTCTTTCATATATGGGGCCAATGATGACAGAGAAAGGAGGAGGCTATGAAGAAATCTAGAGTATCATGCTAGAAACAATATCTCTAGACCATGGGCAGTTTTGGGAGATTTCAATGTGGTAAGAACTCTGCAAGAAATTGAAGGGGGGAGCAACAGAAGAACAAAGGCCGTGGAAGAATTTGAAGAATGTATTCAAAATTTTGGAATTGATGATCTGAGCTTCTCAGGAGTTCTCTTCACTTGGTGTAACAGGAGAGACCCTCAAGATTGCACAGTCAAAAAACTTGACAGGGTCATGGTAAATGATGAGTGGAATATGCTATTTACAAGATCGTTAGCTAAATTTATTACCTCTAATGTTTCATATCATAGCTCTGCCATTGTCAAGTTGGGAGAGGGAGCAAGTCCAAGGAAATGTCCATTCAAGTTTTTCAATTTTATGGCTGAAAGAAGGAATTTTCTTGATATTGTCAATAATGTGTGGCAAACCAATGTGAGGGGAACAAAGCAATTCCAAGTAAGCCAAAAGCTCAAATTGTTGAATTATGAATTCAAGAAAATCAACTAAAAGTTGGTGATGTTACTGCTAGAGCTAATGAAGCAAGAAATGCACTAGCTGAATGCCGGAGGAAACTTGATGAAGAGCCCTTGGACCATGACCTTAGGACTCAAGAGAAGGAGTTGATTAGGAAATTCTTTGAGGCAATCAAAATTGAAGAAGAATTCTTAGGACAAAAATCCAGAATTCAATGGCTCAAAGCTGGTGATCAAAACACTTCTTTTTTTCTTCAAAGCCATCACAATCAATAGGAATAAGTCTAGGATAACTACTATCAAAAGACTGGATGGAACAATGGTTGAAGGGGACTTGCAAATCAAAGAAGTAGTCCATTATTTCCAGAATTTGTTTAGAAGCAACGGTCATCAGTCTACTGCTAGGCAAGCAACAATTTGAGACCTTATTCAGCACACTATCACAGAGGATCAAGCTAGAATGCTATGCAAGGAGATTGCAGGAGCTGAAATTAAAGAGGTATGTTTTTCTCTCCAAGCTAATAAAGCCCCTGGTCTAGATGGATTTAATGGATGTTTCTTTCAGAAGGCTTGTCCAATTATTGGGGAAGAGATTATTTTTGCTATTCAGGAATTCTTTATCACTTGTGAAATGCTCAAGAAAATCAACTCTACAATCATCTCACTTATTCCAAAGTGCCAAACCCCACTACAATGAGTGACTGCTGGCCAATTTCTTGTTGCAACACCCTTTATAAGATTATTTCAAAGATTATTGCCAATAAAATTAAGCCATTTCTGCCTGGGCTTATTAGTCATTTCCAATCTGGTTTTATAGCTGAAATGCTGAAGGTTTTGTTCAAGAGCCATTTAATGAGCAAAAAACAAACCGAGTGCAAAACGACGTGGTTTTGGGCAAACAGCAGCCCCCCGCTGTTCTTATGGAAAAGCAGAGGAGCCGGATCCTGATTTTCGAAGCCATGCCTACTACTTACTATTTGACGTGTGAGATTTCGATTACTACTA